GGTGGGGCCGGCGGGAGCCGTGCCCGTATTTGGGCATGAGGAAGCCAGGCGGCCCTCGGTGGGAGAGTCGCAGCTGGAGCCTATGCTGGCTCTGGCAAACCTTTAGCAAGAAATTAAAAGCGTGAAGATGTTACGTTGCAGGCAAACAGCAGTCCCAAAAATGGGGAAGTCATACAAGTCCATAGAGTACCACCATACTTCCTGAAGGGGCATTGCTTTTAAAAAGCTGCTATGCTGGTTGTGCAAGTACTGATGAATTAAGTTTTATTTGCAGGTTTTTCAAGGCACCGCACAGCAGCATTGCTGTAGTCGACAAAAAGACCCTCTACTTGTCTACATCTTTCGACATCAAAGCATTAAAAACCAATGAAGATGAGCCTCTTGAACAACGAGATGCTGTTGGGGGATTCATTATCCCCCTTCAGCCAGCCGTGTTCGGTGGCTGAGGAAAGTCTGGGACTCCTAGATGACTACCTGGAGGTGGCCGAGCCCCTCAGTTCGCATGGGTTCTCCAGCGACAAGGCTAAGGCAGTCTCCTCCAATTGGCTTGCTGTGGACAGTTTAGGCAACACCATAGATAGCAGCCAGGGTAAGGTATCATTTATTTGCATAAAGTACATCAATTACAATGGCACATAATATATTCAGTAACATTCCAATTGAAAAATGAAATTGCTAGGTTTTCATAAATGTGAAGGCAACCTCACATGCAAACCTCTGCTTGGAAAGTGTGTGTACTACACTGCTTATACAATACAGAATTGCTGGTTACTGGACTGGAATATGGTAAAGTGACACTTCTGTTGTCCTTTTAATAACATACCAGCTGTTATGGTACTACTCCCTGGCAGAGGTCACAAGAAACAAGCATGGCTGTATGTTTCAAATCGCCCTGAATTCTTCTGGTGTTGGAGTAAGAGGGATGGAATGTTGGAACAGCTGACGGCATACATTGTACCCTGCAGCCTTCTGCAGCTAAATGGCAGGGGATTTTTTCTGATGGTTGGCTTTTTTAATGCTGATACAAGAGATAAGGAAGATGTTAAAAGATGAGTTTCTAGATTGTTTTAGGAAGCTTGAGTTGCATTCGTTGCTGATTTACTGAAATGATCATTTCTTTTTCTTATTGTGCAGAGGATGCCTTCTCTGGCATGGAGTGGATGGTGGAGAAGATGGATCTGAAGGAATTTGATTTTGATGCCCTGTTAGGTATGGAACATCTGGAAGCCACCGTCTCACCAGACGAGCTGATGGCCACGTTGGAAGACACGTGTGATCTCCTATTTAACCCTACCATCCAGGAATTTCACAACAAAGAACCTCCACTGATAACTGACCTAATCACCCATCTCCCCGAATCTCCAATTGGAGCAGATCCAATGGTCCCATTGGCTTCCCTTTGGTCTTTTCCCCTCTCCCCAGGGTCTCTGACTTCCACTCCAGACCATTCATTTAGTTTAGAACTAGGTAGTGAAGTGGATGTTCTGGAAGGAGAAAGAAAACAGGAGGGCCCCACCTTTGTGGTAGTGATCACCAAGTCCGAGAAAGAGGAGGAGAACCATTCCGATGATAGTGGAATATGCATGAGCCCAGACTCCTACCTGGGAACACCCCAACATAGTCCTACCAATTCAGTTGGATCCCCCAATGACAACCAGTTCCCTACAGATGCCGGCTGTGGCTCTGTGCGGTCCAAACCATACGATCACCCTGCAGAGAAGGTAGTGTCAGCAAAGATGAAAGGAGAAAAGAAAATGGATAAGAAATTGAAAAAGATGGAGCAGAATAAGACGGCTGCCACACGTTACCGGCAGAAGAAGAGGGCAGAACAGGAGGCGCTGTCTGGGGAGTGCAGAGAGTTGGAGCAGAAGAATCAGGCCCTGAAGGAGAAAGCAGATTCCCTCAGTAAGGAAATTCAGTACTTAAAAGATCTGATTGAAGAGGTCCGCAAGGCCAAGGGCAAAAGAGCTAGAGTCCCCGAGTAGGGTAGTCAGCAGTTTTCATGTGCATGTATATAAGCTTGCTGCTAAAGCTGTGTATTGCTGTCTAATAAATTATTTTATAGTAAACTTACAATTCTGGTGTGTGATAACTGGGCACCTGTAAAACAAGTATAACAGGCACTACACAGAGCTGTAAATACAAGCACCATGAGCTGTTTGGTTTAGAAGGAGGAGGCGGTGTCGTACAGCATGGGGCAGTGGATGCAGTGTGAGCGCACAAAAAGCGCTTTCAGTCTGTTGAATTAATACAGTGACTTGAGTGGCTTGTTGCCTGCAACAGTATACATCTGTGGGTAATAAACACATATATACAGTAATGCGAGGGGGATCGCACTGAGGTGCCCCAAGCTTTTCAGTAGCAAAAGTATAATCCCCTTGAAAGAATTTGATGTGGAGAGTCTATGGAAGAAGATACAGAAGGTCAATAAAGGCTGTATGGTGGGAGGGTTTTGTTTTCAGACCTGGATGTGCTTTCTAAAGGAGGTGAATGGTCTGGGGTACAAACAAAATTCTGTTGAGAATGTAAGTTTTAAGCAATGCGCAGCTTGCTGGGAGACAAGTCCGGAGCAAGTCTGGCACTCCTGGTTTCTCATTTCCCAGTGAGTCCCCAAACATGTCCAAAACACAAGCAAGAGATGTGCGGCCTGGCAAATGGTTGGGGTTACTCTTGGTGCTCTTAAGGATGGAAGACGTTTGTGTACTGAAGAGTGAAAAACCTGGAGGCTTCTTCAGATAGCCACTGAAAAGTAAAATTTTAGGGTGTAAGCATAAATTTGACTTCTACTGAGGGGACGGATGAGTTGGTCCATAAAGCTTGTTCAGCTCCGGTCGAGGCAGCCGTGCAGCTGGTGAGGCGAAGGTGCTGGTGTGCTGGAGCGGTGATTGTGTGCTGGGGATAGGGCTGGGGGTTGTTGACAGCGAGCCGCAGCCTGGCTCCTGGGGCTAGCGTTCCTCAGCGGGGCTGTGGTAAGCGAGTTAACGATCTGGTGCTAGAGCGTGGCAACGGAAAAGATGCAACAGGGGAAGAAAAACCCAGCCCTGCTGTGATGGTGTTTGTCTATTACATGCTGCAGAGAACTTGAACACAAAGATGACAGGCAGGAGCCTGTGTAGCAGGGTGGTTTCTGCCTGTAGATATTAATTAGTGCCCCTCTATTAGTGGGTAAGTTTATAGTCTAGCCACTCAATGCAAGGAAATTTTTTTCTGGTTGGTTCTAGTTCTGTGAGGTTCTGAACGTCAGTTCCACATCCACTGTGGCCGTACTCTGCTAATAGAAGCTTCAGGACTTGGGACATGCCATTTTTATTCATTTTGTGTGTGACTTTTTTTTTTTTTTTGGCCATTGATACCCAGATTTAGCAGCACCTAATCCCTGCTTGGCCTGCTGGAGTCAGCTTTGGCATGTGGACGTGCACAACCTTCCCAGAGGAGTTAAGATTCCTTCTCACTTGCACTGACACGACCCAGTAAGCTGCCCAGCTCAGGCACCTGCACGTCCCAGCCTGGCTGGCGCGCACAGGCAGGGCAATGGCTTCAGGACCAGCCTTAGCCAGCGCTGGGCTCCAGCCAGCACTGGAGCAGGGAGGGAAAAGGTCCCTAATGTTGTTTAAAATAGAAAATTGTTTGTCCAGTTGCAGCCTTGTGGGGGTCCTGGTTTCTGCCACTTAAGCTCCTTATGTCCTCAAGCTAGGGCTGCAGTCCTCCAGCCCTATTCGTTGCCCAAGCCGTTAGCTGATGTGTGGCACGGGATGACAGCCGTGCGCTCTGGGACCTGCTGCATGAAGACTGGCAGATGAAGTAAGTAACTGCTGGCAGCTGCTTGCTGGCTGCGAGGGCTGAGTGGGCCAGGCCCTCGGTGGCGACTTGACCTGTCTGTGCTTACAGCTGGTGCCTGGGTGGCATGGATGGTATTTAAATTACAGTGAAAAGACTCCCTGTCAGGAGTTAGGGCTCATGCCACATTGAAAGTGATGTGGGTAAACTAAGACCCTCACTTTGGGTTTCATGACACAGCGAGTTCCCTGTTGTTTGAGTAGTCTCAGCGTGGACTCCTCACCGTCATGGGAGATTCTGCCCATCTCTCACCTCCCTGGCAAGCGCTCTGACCACTGTGCACTATACAAATGTGAAGCGCTGCAAACTGGCAGGCACATCGAGGTCCTGCTTTAAGTGCTGCTTTGTTCTCCAGAGCTTACTGGTGACCGCATGCAGGGACGAGGGACTGTTCTGTTTTGGGAGGTAAAGCAACCTAATAGGTTTCTTTCAGATCAGCTGGACCTGCGAGGCTGGGGACAGGATAATTAGAGGCAGGGAAGCCCAATGAGCAGGACCAAGTTGCCCTTGATGGGTCAAATCTGCACCTGAGGTGACTCTAAATGTGCTTGGTCTCAGCTGAGCCACAGAAAACAGTACCCAGTAAGAGTGTACAAGCAAGTGGCTTCTCTGTGCAGGGCAACCCCCTCCTCTCCTCCCCAGACTGGTCCCCCTTTCCAAACACAAGGCAACCATCTCTGCTTCCCTTAGAGCCATTGCAACTTCTGCTTAAACCTGGCAACAGCCTGGGCTGCGGGGGCAGCGGGCGTATTTTGCAGCCCTTACTCAGCTCACCCAAAGCCTGGAAAGCTTGTCAGCATGTTTATCCCCCATCCCACCCCATGGCAGGGCCATCTGTTAGCCACCCCTGACTAAAATCGTTTTCTTTGAGACCATGTTTTGCAGGCAGATGAGGCAGTGTCTGTGCTGGCCAGTAAATACATGATTCTGGTTTCTACAGCCCTCCAGAGAGTATGTAGCTCCAATTTACCAAATTACACTCACTCCAGGGAAGGAAGATCAGAGCTGGAACAGGAGACAAGGAATGCATGACGCACCCGTGCTGCTTTGCTCTCTGCCCTGTATCCATGTGTGCATTTTATAGGACTCCTTGCAGGAGAACCAGAAACCTGCCCTTAAAGAGAGGTTGGCGTCGTTACTGTTTGCTGAGGCTCTGAGCTTGCAGCTTTGCAGAGGCAGCCAATATGGCAACCTTATGCAATGCCTGCTGAAATGACGCCGTGTTTCCATACTTAGTAACTTAGTTAAGATTTTACACTGGCTAGAGATTAGGGCTGACTCTTCCTCTGCGTTTTTCATTTAGCCTTTTCCTCCAGGCTTGTCTTAGGCACAGCCAGCATCACGCCACTTGGCTCCGCAGCCCAGCAGCTTGTCCAGCCTGCTGCAGGAACGCCGAGGACACCGTCACATTACAAACCCCAGGCCATGGGAGAAAGAGTCTGATAGCCTCCTGCCTGGTGACTGATTTTACATTTTGCAAACTGCAGGAGCTGTCATCTTTTTTCTCACAGCCTCTCAGAACAAATGAGGTTCAATCAAATCCTTGTGGCTTGCGTACAGCGCGATACCGTGTTCAGAAATAGATTGCAGTGCATGAAATGCAGTCTTTACCTACCTCCGGAGCAGCCCAGTTCTTCTACATACTTGGAAACAGCAGAATTCCCCCGATCTATGGTATATAAAAGCTATCTGAATCTGAAGTTGGCATGGCTGATGGGATTTCTGTCTTGGTTGTTTTCCTCTGAGTTAAGGGCAGTGAAGTGGGCTTCACACGCACAGCGTGCATGACCCTCAGGCTGCCGAGCCCTTAGCTGATTTTGTACTACGTGGTAAACCAGAGTCCAATATTTCCATACACAACCAAACAACCCCCGGCGGTTCACTGCTCGCAAAGCTGCTCTGACAACATAGGGCCTCTTCTCACGAGCTTGTTTCTGCTGTTATCACGATATTTATAACTACCTGCCTCTTTGCCCTGCCTTTAGAGAGACCCAGGTGCTTGCACTTCTCTTTGCAAACGAAAAGAGGAAACCACCACCGCTGACAACTTCTTCACACATGCCTGCGTGGAGAACCAGATGCACGTCTGCAGCGCGCTTACAAAAATAAATCCCCAGCTGCAGCTTTGGAGAATGAAGAAAGAATGATGATAAAATCTTCCAAGTAGCTGTTGCCCTGGCAGAAAGCCCAGAAATAGCTGCAAGGACAGGCTGTCCTTTGGGAGATGAATGCTCCCTCAGCGCTGCTGAGCTGGACTGGTAGAAAGAAAATGTGGGTTATTCTGATCGAAACGATTTCACACAGTGATAGTCCGGTCACAGCCCCCTCTCCCCTGGCCCCAAAGCCATGTCGTCTCCAGAGGAGTCACGTGCCTCTTGAAAAAAATACATTCCTTGTCTCGCCTGCGTTTCCCACAGCCTCGTTAAGTATTGCCTCACCTTTTTTTTAGGTATGGTTCTGTTCTTGGCATATCCATATGCTTTCTCTGTTTTGAGATGTCCCTTGCTTTCTCAACCCTCACTGCTGTGTAGCCACCCTTCTTCTCCACTTACTAAACCTGTTTCTAATTCAGAAAGCCCTTTTTTGGGGTGGGAAATCTATAAATTTTTGGTCAGAATAACACCAGTTTTCTTTATCTTTCTATAGGCTTAGGCCTTCAGAAACAACAGGATCTATATTGTCCTTCCCATACGCATAATTTCCATCTTGTGTATACTGATTTTTTCTGAATACAGTTCAAGTAGCTTCTGGAGACAACGTACCTTCCTCCGTCCTCCTGATGTATTCCCAGCCTTGCCAAGCAGCCCAGCCCAGCAAATGTACTCCTGTTGCACTTCGTTTCCAGTGGAAAGACAGTCTTGAGGTCTTACCATGAGCATCCCTTGCTGGGCCAAAAAAGCTCATCTTTGCTGAATTTCCCATTGAAATACTTCAGGCTCTTTAATTGGGCCTTGTGAATTAATAGAGGATTTCGGTCCCCCAACCTAGGCAATACCATTTTGGCTGCTCAGGTATCCCAGGTATGCTGTCTTTGCATTATTTTCAATGCACTCATGCAGTGTCACAAGCCACTGAATGAAGCTAGCTCTACCCACAAGCTCCAATTTCCCTATTACATAGGTTCTCCAAGTAATGGCTAGCCACCTCTCATTTCTCCTTCAGCTGCTCTTTTCCTCTCTTTTACACGTACACACCCTTTTAAAAAATGGCAGGGAGTGAGTTCCAAGCGCAGCAGACGCGTCAGCTTAATTTATATAGGGCAGAGAATCTCCTAGTTCTCTAACTCCTCTGCATCTCCATTGCAGCGCGTGGACAGTTGGAGAGAGAGACCTAGTCTTTGCCTCCCATTAAAGGAGACAAATGGACTTGCTGGCACGCAAACGGTGCAGCTCAGGACAGACCAGCTTGGCTAGATTACTGGTTAGCCCTGCCAACAGCTAATTCGTTCAGAAAAAGGTGCATGTAACCCTGTAGACAGCTGCAGAGCAACCTTCATGCTTTTTATTTCCCCTGCCCCCACCAGTTAGAGGTTGGCACTGTTAATCCTATTTAATGTAACTATGGATAGACATGCAAACCTTTAATCCATCTCAAACCTACTAACCCTTCAGCCTGGCTTGGCTGGGGTTCCACGTTTTGAGCTGTAAGCAGGCATTAGGCAGCCTGCCTTCTTTTACACTCCTCTTTTTAATTGAATTGATGGGTCTTCTTGTCTCAAAATGAGAAACTTCCTTTCGCTGCAACTTTTCTTTTGTGAGTTATTCAGGGCGCTGCTGCTGTGCACCCTTTCTACAATAACCAGTCCCTTACCCAAGGTGTTCAGGAGCCCGTCGGTGTTGTAGGTGCCGATGCTGTGTTGGTCATCAGCAAGACTGAAATGGAAGTCAGTCATGAAAAAGAAACCGGAGACTGAGATTCCCAAAGGTTTTTAGAACCCTCCCCCTTTGGTTTTCCCCCACAGCTTTTTCAGCATTTCAAGTCTTGTTTGCCTGAGCAAGTTTTACAGTCTGTCTTTGTTCATTCGCAGCCAGGTTTGTTACTGCTATGTCATTTCAGAGGCAAGAAGTTGGTTAGTGTCCTGAGCAAACACGTTTTCTTGGTTTACATTTGCAGTCCTCCCCCCTCCCAATACACATATAATGCTGATATTAGCTGTTGTTGCTTTCTACACTAAAGAAGTAAAGACTTGCTGATACAGCAGAGGCTGTATCGGCTAACATTAGCTTGTACCCATCCAAACAAATTTTCGTGTGTGCTTTCCATTCACATAACAGAGGGAGCAATCGGCCATTAACCGGCTTGATGAATCTTATTCACAATAAGCTAGCTCAACACTGAGCATCTGGGAACTATTCTGCCTCTTCTAAACTGTTTCCCTGGAAAGGTTCTACCACATTAATAACACTCCAGAGCTTTTATTTGCATTTATATTAAAGCTGCTGCTGCTGCCTCCGCCTTCCATTCCGACTCCCCGCTGCATGTGGGTGGGGATGCACTGCAAGATGGCACCCTCCTCCTTCTTCCCTAGCTCAGCTACCTCTATTTTCTGCTGCAGGATGCTCAGCTGGTGTCAGAGAGCTGGGAACAGAGCCAGCAGCCCGATGAGCTCAGCCAGCACGCGGCCCTCGCCCTGCAGCAGCGGGACGCCTCCCTGCACTGCCGCTTGCAGCTGCGCAGGAGAGAAATGCCATCCGGCAGGTCCAAGGGTTGCGGGCTGCAGCGTGCTAGCTTCCAGCGTGGGAACTGGAGGTCGGAGGCCGAGTAGAAAAAGCAGCTATGGCAGCTGCTCCTTCCCTGACCCCCTCTTCTCTCTTTCGTGGGGCAGCAAAGTCTGGCCGCAAGGAACAGAGAGACGGCACTAAGTTGCTCTAAGATAGCCACCTCCTGGGGTCCCAGCGCAGCCGAGAAGCTGGCATGCTCTAGGCATGATTAGACCATAACATAGACAGTTGGGAGCGTAGGAAGATGCTTAGCTTTAGCTTACCACCAGGGACATGCAGCAGGCTGGTAGCTATTCCCACCTCTAGTTTGAAGACATTCCCGTCAGGGGCCAGCTCCTGTCCTTATCTACCCAGTGTGCAGGTGGCACTGCTGTTCTTGCCGCGGAGCTCCAGCTCTGCTAGAGAGGTGGAAAATCAAGGCTAGAACATGTCAGATCTTTGCCCTTGCGGAAGATGGTTTATCTAGAGCCACCCGTTCACTTCTGCTTGATTTTCTTTCCTCCCCCAAGATGAAGTTTCATTTATTCAAGGATACTGTTGGCTGTACAATGAAGTTTGATTTCAGATGGCAAAATCAGTCTGTCAGGTACCTTTACCCTCTTCAACAATACAACACCTCATTGCATATAGTCACAAGAAGTATGCCGATTACTTGTGTTGGCTCTAATAGTCTTTCCAGCCAGTAATGAGAGCTCCTATCCAACTTTAAAACTCCACAGATTGGGAGGGTGTTATCCTTGGGGAAAACTGCTCTGGGCCCGACTTTAAAGTTCCTCATTAACTTTGAAAGAGCAGCTTTCCTGTTTGCTTACATTTGCAAGCAAACAAGCTGGGTTTTGTACAAAGGGAGTGAACCACATTACCCTAGTGCTCCTTTCTGGAGCAACAAAGGATGGTTTTGCTTTCCTCAGCCTGCAGAAGAATGGCCCAGGACCTGAAAAACCACAAGAAACAAGGGTGCGTTGGAGGAACAGGTAAAGGAAGTGCAGAGGGTGACATGAAGGACCTCTGTAAGGTCAAAGGAACTGCTAAGTACTGAAGATGAGGGATGAGGGCATGAAACAAAGTAACAATCCAGAAATCCACCCCTTTCAAAAGTCAAGTTGTGGCATAGCCAGCTTTTTCACACTGTTAATGGTCTCTGTGACAGCTCCACACGGAGCTGCACGTCTTAGACCAGCTCCACATGGAGCTGCACGTCTTAGACCAGCTCACACACACTGCAGCAGGCGCAGAGTGCAGAGGTTTTAGGGAGACATGTGCTGCATACACATTTTGCTCAACTACTTTTTCAAACAATAGTATTTCCATTCTTTTAAGAAGCAAACAATCATTCTCTTTTTTTACACGTCTTTTTTTAACTGTCTTTTTTTAACTTTGGGAGCAAGAACAAACTGAAAAAGAAGGGAATTGGTCTTTGAACTGTTCTATATTTACCACTTTTGGCTGCAGATAGTTGAACTTGATCCGATTACAAGAAATCCCCTCCCAGGTGCTATTACACAATTCAAGTACACACACTTCAATATGTTCACTATTTCCCCTGTCTGGGCCTCATACATCTGGGTGACTTTCCCTCCCATGCAGACAAGAGGGAAAGAACACAACAGAGGTGCAGACTTAAGAGGACGGCACCAGGAATTATAACCAGAGGGCAAGGAAGGGATACCAAATTCCCTCCAGTGCTGACATCCAAGCAGCTGCTGCTCAGGTCAGCCAAGCCCCTTGTAATCAACTCCTGAGTCTAACCAAAGCTTGGCATTAGTCCTTCTCCTTACCTCTTTTTTTCCAAAGGGAACACACTTCCCATTTTCTTAGGTAAGGGGCAGGAAAGGGCAGTGGCAGGAGCTCCCCAGAAGCACATTTACAGTGATTTAGCAAGGAAGAGCG